GGTCTCCTGTATCCTGAACCAGTCTCAGATTTGATGTGGATCTGTGGTGGTTTGAATGAGAGCATCCCCCATAGGCTCATGTATTTACACTTGGTTCCAGTTGGCGGCACTGTTTGGGGAGGTAGTGTGGAGGATGCCACTAGGAGCCGCCTTTGAGAGTTCAGAACCTGGCTCCACCTCCAGTTCACTCTGATTCACGTTTGTGGTTGAAGATGATTCCTGCTCCTGCGGCCAAACCCACTGCTTGCTGCCATGTTCCCGCCATGACACATAAGCTCAAAAGAATGATTTCTTCCATAGTTTGCTTTGGTTGCAGTATTTTTATCACAGCAACAGTAAAGGAAAACAGCAAATTAATACAGAAACCAAAGGTGACCATGCACATCTTATCCTCCTGCCTCCACTTCCCAAGTGCTGAGGTTACAGGGGTGCTGGGGATCAAACCCAGGGCTTGGTGCATGCTAGCCCAGCACTTTACCAACTGAACCACATCTCCAACCCTATTTTAAACCTTAATATACAGGACAACATGGGTTATATTTTGATCTCTCAATGTCACTGAACGCATAGCAGGGAACTTTTTTGGTCCAGTGATGTGGTGTTTCTCTCTCTAGTCCTGGGGCTGTATCTGCCTTGTTGAGACTGGTCTGGGGTGGAAGAGGTGAGCAAGTGTCTAAAATAATAGGATCAAAGCCAGTTGTACAATCTTCATCTTAGAATAAATTTCCAGAAATATGACTCTGCCCCAAAATCCATGAGTCTTTGAACCTTGTGAGTGGACCGTGTATCGACCAGCCTGGGATGCACTGGGCCATTCATAGTTCTGGGTGCCCATACTCATTCCTCATAGGCCAAATGTGCACGCATGCACCACATTCTGGGAATGAAGCAACCAATAAACGTGGTCCCTAAAATCAAGGCTCTTATAGACACCAGTCTATAAGAAAACAGACCATATGAAACTAATGCACGGTGAAAGAGGTTTGTCTGGAAGAAAACTGAGATTGGCAAGGACTGAGAATGACACAACCCCCTTCTTGTTTCACAGTAGAGACGAGCATGCAGTCCTGCCTCCAGGCTCACAGGGGGTCTGAGGGAAATCACTGCTGATTGTCATACATTGGCCCTGGTGGTTACACTCAGTGGGATCCCTCAGCAGAGAGGGGCTATGCTGCACTCCTACAGTCCCTCAGAGCCACCTCCGCCCTCTTGCTTGCCCCCACCTGTACCCCCCAAAGACTACCATCCATCAGTTCCCTCATTTCTGCCTAATTCCTTAGCTGTTCAGTAGGTGCTTAATAAATGAGCTGGTGCCTAAGCCAGCTTTGACCATGAGGCAGCATGCTTCAGAATCAGAGTCTTCGGAACAAGTTCTAGTTCTAGGACCAAATAGGACTCAATCAATCCCTTTGGCTCCCTCCAGCCTAACCTCTGTGGTCTAGGAGTGTTTTCCCATGAGGGAAAACTTCGTGGGGTATGTAAACAGTGCCTGGAAGAGCAGCTGTATATGGGGCAGTGCTACGTTCTCAGTGGGATAAACACCTCTCACACATGTAGTTGCTCCCATCCAAAGGTTTCAGTGCTTCCTGGAGCACTTCTGAGAGACCTGCTTACCTTAATGCTGCCATTGTATGTGTCAGAGGCAGGCACAGCTTGGAATCGACTGTCCTGGAGGCTGATCTCCGCTGTCAGGTGGTGAATAACTTTCTGCACTTCCTCCACACTTTGAGAAATCTGCTGGCGCCTCAGGTCCACCTGGGTGTGAGGGGATCAGCAAAACAGTTATGAGGCCTGAGGCACCTGCATAGGTGACAAGGCACAGTGAAGCTTGACCCAAGTTCAAGGCAAAAATCTTGCCTCCCAGGACTATAAGCAAGTTGAGCTGCTTAGGTCTGACAGTGACCAAATTGATACTTGCTTTCTTCTGAAACAGGTGCAGTTGCTCAATATTTGTCCAGGACTTACCCTGGGCAGAGGCTGGGGACATAACAGCAATCAAGGCAACAGCAAGGATGGGAGAAATGTGACCCACACCTGTCATACCAGCATGCGGGAGGTAGAGGCAGGAGGATCTGGAATTCAGGACCAGCCCTGGATCTGTAGTGAGTTCAAGGCCAGCAGGGGCCATACAAGTCCCTGTCTCAAAACACTTGGCAACAGATCAGACAGATGTACAGTCTCTCTGGTTGAAAACACATGGTTGTGCATGCAGACTATATAATGCTATACATACCAGTTTTGAAAAGTGCCATAAAGAATATTGAGTTAGGATAAAGACCAGTGGATAAGGTGTGGCTATTTCAGTTAGGGAGGTCAGAGAAGGTGATATTTGAGTTGAGTCATGGAGAGAGCTCTGGAAAGCAGATTCCAAAACTACTCAAAACAGCCAGATAAGAAAATCCCAAGTCAAAGACACTTAACCAATGCTAAGTCATCCATCATGCCAGGCACCTGAGAGCTCCTACAGAGCCATCCCATACAGAGACAGAATGCAAGGCTCAGAACACACCTATCTGCACAGGTTTCATAGCTCACACAGTCAGCTCAGTGATAAATATTTATTTAACATTCGTTGTATGCAGGGTACAGCCTTCATGCTAGGTCACAGGAACAAAGCAGACAGACATTGACTATGCACTTACAGCACTGGGAAACTATATGAAAGATAATTCTGGGGCTCCATCGCAGGCAATCGTGGGGTGCTGCTGGATACAGCAGAAAGGGGACCCCTATCTGCATGCAGAGACCTCTTTGATATGTGCAATTCCATATATAAAGTACTGTCTTTGGAAAACAAAATAGTACTGTCCAGATGCCCAACACTACACTGAGTAGAAAGAGACAAAAATGAGGCCACTAACGCTACAGACCTGAGAATCTCATTGGAAACATCAAATACACAAAACAGTCTTTTTGAAGCCCATGTATCCTGCTTTACCATAAATATAGCAGTCCTATTGGAAGTTTAACAGTTTGCTTTTGCCACCAGCAGCCATCCTCTAATTCTATCCTTGTAATGCTCACCCCACTATATTCACCATGGGTAACCCATGGGTCATGGGGCTGAGAGACTCTCTTTGAAAGACTGTGCCCTATGGAGGCTCTGCATCCTCTGGACTGCAAGTGAAAGAAAGAAGGTGATCACAGAAAAGCAGAGAGTTCAAGATGCCAAAAATAAAGAAGGATGCTTTTGGAGACCTTTGGTTAAAGGTCCCCACAGACAGGACTTCCCCTGTGTTTGATTCAATTCCATTTGGCCCATTTTCACCAAATGCCCACTTCTTGCAGGACTGTGTACTTCATGGCCAAAGATTATAGATGGTCAAAGTAATATGGATTAAATTTGCCAAAGTTAGGTACTGGGAAAAGACAGGCATGGGATGCTATGGATGCCCAGCAAAAGGACAGTTGTCTAAACTAGAGGCCAAGGATCCTTCCTGGAGACAGAAGGTGAGGCTAGAGGGAGTCAGCCAGGGGCTAGAGATCTGTCTGGCTCTGGCAGAGTGGATGCTTGCTTAATGGGCATGAAGCCCTGGGTTCCACCTCCACCAGTATAGAAAATTAGCATCCTGTGAATGCCAAAGTCCTGGAGCCTCGGGAGTGGATGCAGGAAGATCATTTGTGGCTTCTCAGCAAGTCCTGGGATATGTGAGACCTTGTCTCAACATGTGTATGTGAGGTGGCAGGTCCTGGAAATAAAGGTTGAGGCCAGTGCCCCCCAAGTATCTGCAGAGTTTCCCAACCAGAACAGGGGAGCGAATTCATGAGGACAAAGGGTCACCACTTCTCAAGAAGCTTGACCATGGAAGCAAACAAATTAGGTAAAACTAGCAGGGCCAGCAGCAGGTTCTCTCAAACTGACACACCGGCTTAGGCATGTCTAAACACGGAGGGAAGTGTCACGGCTGGAGGAAGAGGCTCACACACTGAGGGGGATTTCCCAGGAGGAAAGTGTCATGCAAACCCTCAGGAACCCATCACCCCATTGCCTCAGAGGAAAAGCAGAGCAAAAGAGATAAGGGAAAGGGAGGGGGTGGTGGGAACTGGAGAGATTCCTGCTTGAAGTCTGTTTTCTTCGCAGGGTAGGAGATAAAGCAATATGCAACAAGAAGCCGGAGAGATGGCAGGTGCCAGACTCTAGGTAATAGACTAGACCAGCTTCCCAAGGGATGAGGAATAACGGATGGCTTGGGCACTTGTGTAAAGATGGGAGTAAGGAGTTCTAGCCATGGTGAGGACCATGAGGCTTGGGGTATGAGTGGGCTCAGTTGTGAGAGAGTCCAAAGCACTGATTAGCCTTCCAGGTCAGGCTGAAGTGCTCTGTCTGGGGTATGTTAGGCAAGAGGTGGAGGGGTGGAAGCTAGGTGGGGTTTCAGTCATTGAGTTGGATTTTTCCAGCCTGAGGATAGAATTCATAGCTAGGCTGGTGGATTACAGGTCACTGAACAGGGATGAATCTACTAAATGAGTGTAGTGGGGGAAATTACATGGCATCATTACAAGTACTGCCATGCAGGATGCTCTGACTAGGTAGAACACTGCCATCAGAGTGGCTAGGAGGAGTGTCATTGAGTAGCTAAGTTCTCAGAAGGCATGGAGGGCCAGGGCCAATAATCCCAAACTCACCAAATCTTTAAGTTTATGGATATGATTCCCCAGAATTTGAATGTGAAAAACCCAGTGGACACACGCTCACTCACAATAATAAGCTAAGTGTCCTAAGTTGCTTTCTATTGTTATGATAAAATATGGACTGAAAACTTGGAGGAAGAAAGTGTATACTTGGCTTATACATTCCAATCATATCCCCCCACCCCACCCCTCGGCGGGAAGTCAGGGCAGGAACTCAAGCAGAGGCCATGGAGCGGAGATGCTTACTGTTTTGTTCTCCACTGCTTGCTTAGCCTGCTTTCTTAATCAACCCTGGACTAGCTGCCCACATGGGCTGCACCCTCCTACAGCAACCATCAATCAAGAAGACTCCCAACAGACTTTCCCACAGGCCAATCTGATGGGGGCATTTTCTCAGTCGACGTTCCCTCTTCAAAATGACTCTAACCGGCCAGGCATTGTGGCACATGCCTTTAAAACTAGCAGTTAGGAGGCAGAAGCAGGGAGATCTCTGAATTTGAGGCCAGCCTGGTCTACAAAGTGAGTTCCAGGGCAGCTATGGATATGCAGAGAAATCCTGTCTGGAAAAACCAAACAACAGCAACAAGACTCAAGCTTCTGTCGAGTTGGCAAAAACTAACCCATACACTAAGATCCATTGAGTATTGGCACTGGGGTGGAGTGGTGGGGCAAAACACCCCAAGAAACAGCCTTCTTCAGAACAAAAATACTTCATTGTGAGTGAACTTGACCACGGACTGGACAGTGACTGGGCAGAGCAAGACTGAACATATTCTGGCAGATACCTATAATCACTCCTCATTATCCGGGACTTAGCTCATCGTCCTCTTGTGTTCTGATCTGCAGACATGAAAGTCAGGAGGGAGGACTGGGCTGCCTGGAAGCTAAGACTACTCAATTTTTCTCTGTCACTTCTTATACTTGGGAGCCTTACACTCAGCATCTTAGAATTATTCCAACTTCAGGAATCATCTTATCTGGTGTCACTGAATAGAGTACCAGAGCAGCAGGTGGCTGTCCTCTGTCACACTGGCAATTAGAAGTAGACCACATGCACGGGGTTTCCAATGCCATTTTCCAGCACTCCCTGCCACACCCTTGAGGACAAAAGTGCTGTGAGTAGAACTCATCCCTTATCTTCTTCCTGAACCTAGAAAAGCCTTTCAGTTTGGGCTCATGAAATAGTGAGTCTAGAGCTGCTACCGACTGTTCTTGCACCCCACAAGCACACGAGGGTAAAAGCTGGAGCATGATGCAGGTGTAGACCAGAGCTCCAGGCAGGTCTGTCCCCTCAGTGCCTAGGTTGCTGAAGCTGGGTATAGCTTTCATCAAGTGATATCTGCCCACTACTCCCACATTACTGGCCATGTGTGCAGTGGCAGGCTCTTACAACTACAGCAACACCAAGTAATCTACAGTCTCTGAACGTTCTATGGTTCTCAGGTTGCATCTCCCACCTAGACCTTGATTGATGCCCACCTCAATTACTGCCTTCCACTTACTGTGACTGAACCCAGAGAGACAGAACAAGAGGAGTCAACCTCTGGGTGAGGAAATGTAGAGACACAGCCTGAGGCTGATTGCAGAGTGATTTTGGTAAAAGATGGACACTTTCCTACAAGTGCAAGCCCCTCCAAGCCCAATCCCCAAATCCCTTTTCTTTATAGTCTCTCATATATTAATAGCCAGTAACACAGTCTCATCACCAAAGGCATTTCAGGCAAAGAAAAGCTTGAAAATAAATACAAGGGGGAAATGGGATAATTGAAGAAATTAGACTCAAAACAAAACTCAATCCAAGCTTATCTTGGGGTTTATCCAAGTTTCACCCACCTCCTCTGCTGATAAACCCAACAAACCAAAAGGGGTCCATTCTCTTTTTCAAGCGCTGCATTTGTGGGTGTGGCAGAGCCCAGGCAGAACTAAGCCCCATCGAATCAACCAGGCGCACAAGGCTGGATGCTCCAAGGTCACCTGGGGCAGCAATGACGCCTTCACTCCATAGCTTTGCCCAGGGCCTCCCTCTCTCTCCAGGTTTGTCTACGTGCCTGCACACATGTCCCTGCTCATCCGAGGCTCCCTCCCCTTCTTTCCAGCCAGAGCCTCTGGGTTACTGTTGACCCACAAGTTGTTTGCTGCTATTAATAGTTCAGGTTTGTGAATAATTTACTGTTTCAAATATAAATTATTGGGAATTCAACATTGTTCCCTGTAACAAAACTATGCTGACTCACACGGGTGTCGCAATCTTCTTCCTTGAACTCCATGGAGGGCCAATTCAGCAGCATGAGGGAAAGTTGTACGGGCCTGGCTGCATGGAGAACAGGTGGTCTACGTACATGAGCATCACCCAGGTGGAGGATAGGGAGGGAAAAAATGGCTGAGAACATCCTCCCAGACAACAGAAAGTTGGGCTGTTAATCTTGGAATTGCTTTAAGTCCAATAATTGGTTAAAACAGAATACATACCTTCCCTGTCCTCTAGGCTGCCAGTTTAAAAAGAGAAAGCCACAAATTTATTGACAGACACAGAGGAAACAGTGGGCCTTCTTCTCTGCTCAATTCTATGAGGAATGCCTGGACCACCTGGTATTTGCAGCTCCAAATGCTGCAACAGCAGTGGTAGCAATGTGGAGCTGGAATTACTCAGCTTTGTCTGAACAGGACTACCCAAGCCTCCTTCACTGTCATATTCCATGATGGTTCCCATTTTATAGATGGGGAATTTAAAGCTCCGGAGACAACTTGTACCAGAGTTAGTAAGTTACAGACAGGCCATATTTGCTACCTAGGATTTGCTTCCCTAAAAGAAAGGGTAGCTGAATATAAAACTCCTGTCAAATGGGGTGGGTGGAGAAATTGGGTTTCCTCCTGTCCTTTTTTCCTTTTTTTTAATGGAAACCTAACACATCCTCCAAGCCCTCATTTCCATTCCTCTTTCTGTGAACCACTTCTCCCATCAGAGCCAAGGCCCTTCCTTTCGCTCTGCAAGGCTCTCCATTGCAGCCCTGGGCTCTGCTGTGCACTGCTGCTAGCACAGGATGTCCCCTTCTTCCCGGGGAGTTAAGAACAATCTGCAGGTATGGCCAACCATCCCTCGGTCATGCATGGTGTTTCTTTCCCATTTAGCAGACCACATCTCAAGTCTTGTGCTCCCCCAACCACAGAGCAGGATTTGACATAAAGTGGGGCTTCTGTCTGCATCTATGAGATAGAGGACTTTAGGAGAGGAGATACGGCCCAACCAGCTATGCTAAAACCTCAGTACCTTCACTGTATAGCCACCAGACTCTAGTCAAGTCTTTCCATCTCTACAAACATCTTCCTCTACAGAAATGGAGAGGGGAGAAAGAGAGGGGAGTGGGAAAGACGTATAGCTCAATAAAAACAAGTTAATAAAAAAAGAAAAGAAAGAAATGGTGGTTGGCTGATGGCTACATTAAATAAGAGTTACCTGGACCCGTCAGCCCCTTTCACAGTGTGTTTCGTCATCATCAGTGAACTCTGAAAGGATTCAGAGCACATCGGTGCAAGATACTCTGGGAATATGGAAGGAGAGGGACACATCCAGGAAACTTTTGGTCCCTCTAAAAAGGTAGAAGGAATTAAACCTTCACAGGATGCAAGTCAGCAACCAAAGTCAAGCTAGGAGGTCCAGTAAACAATCAATAAACAGTATTAGCTCCAGAGTACCCAGGATGATAAAAGTGTTCTCTTTAAGCTAACTCTTAGCTTCGTGAGAAGGATTAAAAAAACAAACAAACAAACAAAAACCCCTAGGCCTAAAGTCTGTTCAGGACATAGCTCTTGCAGGACAGATGTGGACTCTGGCCCACCTTCAGGGACAAGAGACAAAGCAAGGAGGGCTCTGTCAGACTGGGGGTAAAGGGTTCCAGTCTCTGGGAACTGGCTGGTGCACATTCTAACAAACACTCAGCCCAAGATTTCCAGGCCAGACACTGGACCTGCGCTTGCCATGTATCTTGATTCTTTTCATCCCCACAGGAGACAGAAATCCAGTGTAAGTAATTTGGAATGTCTGTGAAAGAAAACTTTAGAAAATGCGCTGTAGGTGGAACAGGCCATGCATGAGCCCAGGCTGGACCACACTGGGAATGCCATTTACCATTTCTGCTGATGGGAATGACCCAAGGAAGATGCCAGTCAACGGATTCTGTGTTGAGGAGTGATGGGAAGTTACTTTGTTCACTATTGTTTTTTATACATGTAGATTTTCCTTTGATGGTTTTGTCCAAAAAGCACACTCCTGTCTCATTGTGATAACAATCTTTGCTCTGTTTACACATAAAGGCATGAAAGCCAGAGACCAGTCCCTACCTCTCAGCTTTAACCTTTTCGTTTAAACATTAACTGCATGCCTTAGAAGCTTCACAAGTAAGTCCAACAATGGAACATCTTAAATTGAATAACATTTAAGGTCCCTACAAAGTCTAACATTTAAAAGAGCCTAAGGTGAAAATTAGTCCTTTTCTCTACCCCCTCTTTCTTTCTTCTTTCTTCCTTTCTTCCTTTCTTCCTTCCTTCCTTCCTTCCTTCCTTCCTTCCTTTCTTTCTTTCTTTCTTTCTTTCTTTCTTTCTTTCTTTCTTTCTTTCTTTCGACAAGGTTTCTCTATGTAGTCCAAACTGGTCAGGAACCTACTCTGTAGACTTGGCTGGCCTTGAACTCACTGAGATCTGCCTGCCTCTGTCTCCTGAGTACTGGGACTAAAAGTGTGTACCACCACGCCCAGTTTATAAATGAAATGATATCTTTTAAAGATTTATGTTTTATTTTTATTTTCCATGTGTGGGTGTTTTGCCTGCATGCACATCTGTGCACCACATGTGTGCTTGGTGCCCATTGAGGGCAGAAGAGGGTGTTAGACCCCTTAGAACTGGAATTACCGATGGTACAGATGGCTGTGAGTCACCATGTGGATGCTGGGAATCAAACCTGGGTCCTCTGGGACTGCAGCTAATGCTCTCAACCACTGAGCCATCTCTCCAGTTCCCAAATAATATCTTTTAAAACTATCAGTTATGCGGTTTGTACAAAGTTTTGTCTTAAGTTCATTTTCTCTTCCTCTTTCTCCTCCTCCTCCTCCTCCTCTGCCTCCTGCTCCTCCTCCTCCTTCTTCGTTGAGGCAAGGTCTCATGTAACCCAGGATACCTTCAACTTCTGAACCCCCTTCATCCACCTCTCAAATGTCAGCATCATAGGTTGTGCCATTGTGCCTGTGCCTGACTGGTCATTTGCCAGTGACTCCATTCAGACCCCCATTTTATGGAAAAGAAGTCTGAGGCTAAGGTAGATTAACTGGCAGCAATGGACGAGCCAGAGGTCTGTTCTGTATTTTGTGCCCAACATTCTTCTGTGCACTAGAACCTCAGAGAAAAGACCTGACTGTGTAAACTTCCCCGGCACACTGAGGCTAGTGGTCCTGTGTTCCCAAGAACTATCTTACAATCTCCAGAAGCAGGGGAATCCTTCTGGACCAATGTCAGTGGGATGGAGAGGAAGAGGGTGTGCCCAGGAGAGGCGGGCCTGGCTTACCTTACTCAGCAGGCAATCTTGTAAGTCTCCCTCTGGAAGAGACTTCATAGCTTCTTGGTCAATCCCCAGTATAGCAGCAACCTTCTGTTTCTTTTCACGATGGAGGACAAAGCTGGTGGGCAGCTTTCCCAGCAACGTTACTCTCTGGATGAAACTTCTCTGGAACTGTGAGCATGAACCAGAGACTTGGCTTCTTCTCGCCTGCTCACTGCAGTTTTCCTTTACAACTTGAGAAAATTCGTCCGCCATCTTTCAGGGAATTATAGAAAGATTCAAAAGGAGACTTGATGGAAATGAATTGGAGTCCACCTGATGTTGCCTGATGTTGGTTTATCCTGTCTTTTTTATACTTATGAACTGACACCAGGTGCACCTTGGTGCCCGGTATCTTTATATCTCCTTGTCCTTAACCAGTTGACAGTAAATATCCTCAGCCCTCCAATCCAGAAAATTCTGCAATTGATTTACTTCCTTACCCATAAACAAATAAGAAATTGCAAACAAGTCCTCTGGTTTCTCACCATTATGCCCAGCACAAGCCTTGCCAGTCAGATGAGGGCCAGGATCAGCATTTGGAAAAGCATGAGCTCACAAATAGACTTGTGAATACAGAGGCAAGCTTACATAGACACACAAACACACACTCACAAACACACACACACACACACACACACACACACGCACACGCACACGCACACGCACACGCACACGGAGTGGGGGGCAGACAAACAGAGATGAGCAGACACACACACAGAAGCAGACACACACACAGAGGCACACACACACACACACACTCACACATGCAGGCTGGCTTACAAACAGGTACATACATGCAGAGAAAAGTAGGGCAGAGTCCTGCCTCTCACCTGTTGACCTTAGAATGTGATTTCCTTGTCCCACTTGATGGCCGACAATCAAAATAAAATCAGTATAAACAGGCCCCTTAAGAGTCTAGGACACATGTAGTTTTACCAGTAAAACTCATCCTAGACAATAGCTCAGACAGTATAAGTTCCCAGTCTGACTGGCTGGGGATAGTTTTAATACAGGGGGAAAAAAAATCCCTGCAGCCTGATCTTCCTGTACCACCGTCTACTGTCTGTGATCCGAAGGACTGACAGCCCAGCTCACATCTGAGCAAGGCTTCCAGGCCGGCAGCTCTCCAAACCAACCTCTTCCAGGCTGCTCGCAGCCAATCCAGCCTTTCTACTCTCTCCTGTGGCCCCGAATTTGCATATCCTCCCAGACAACTCCAGGTGAGAGCCACATCAGACCCCACCCACCTTCTCCTAGGTGTTTGGCTGCCTTGTCCAGGTTCCATCTGCCAACCCAGGACTTTTATACCAGTCCTGAAAAGCTACAGCTTCCACAAGGATCCTCAGAATCCCCTCCAAACTTCCTTGATTTCCCACCTGCTGTTCTGTGTGGTGGAAATCCCCTTCTTTTTAGGGCACATGCTCTCAGATGGTCCAGAATCTCCTTCCCTCAGCTTCGGTTCCCCTGGTCAACACTCCAATCGACCACATGAGTTTTTCACAAGTCAAACAAGAGCCTCTTCCCCTTAAACTGCCTTTTGGAATTCTCTCTCCACGTCACTCTCAGCGGCACCGAAGTCCACATTTCCCCTACACACTTTTGGTTTTGCCCTTGGCTTCTGCTTTTGCTGAAATTGTTACCTCACAGTCCCTTTCCTGATAACAATAAAGCTGCCCCGGGTTTCTAGAATCAAACACCCAAAGCGTCAGCATTCTCACTCTGATGCCGACCCATCTCAGTTACTCCAGTACTGCAGATTAAAATGTTGTATCCAGAAACATCTGTTACTCCAAGTTGGGAAGATTCTTGCCAGGTATGAACAGGGAAACCTGATAATTGAGCTTCTCCGTGAGGAACCTGGAGAAGGAAAGGCACTGTGAGCTCAGAGCAGCTGCCTGCAATCACAGTCCCACTAGATGTACATCAGAAAATCGGTGTGTTGTGTGAACACAGCATACACCCACTGCAAAGGCTCAGTTCCTTGTGGGTACAGTTCCACGGCACAGGACTGGGCACAGACACCGCTCTTATCAGAAAATCAGAGGGAAGCAAGCTCACCTGGCAGATAAAGATCTCTAGCTTATTGGACAATAGGTTAGCAAAAATCTAGGGAGTAAGGGTGTGGCTAGGGCCACCAAGTGGAACCCAGTTAATTCAAGTTTTCCTTCCTCCTTGGGAAATAAAAAAATCCTCCTTTTTCATGACTCATAAGCAAGGCAAAGTGAAAATAGAAGCCAGCTTTATCTCAATTTAGACTGTGAGCACTGGACAGTTGAGATGGATCAGCAGATGTCTGCCACCAAGCCTGAGGGTCTGAGTTCATATCTCCCCACCTCCCAGGACCCACGTGGTGGAAGGAGAAAGCCAACTGCCTCATGTACACCTCTACACACATATACAAATAGTAGATAAATAAATGTAATAGATTATGAGGACCAATTACATGTTTAACGACTGTTTAACAAAGTAGTCAAATATTTTGTTTATTCCTACTTTTGGATTGGGGTCTGGTAGCGTGGTGTGTATACAGAGGTCAGAGGACAAGCTCAGGTGTCAGTCCTCAGGTGCCTTCTACCTTTTCCTTGAGACAGAGTCTCTCGTTGTCTAGGAAACTTGCTGTGTAGGTCAGGAGCTGGCCACAAGCTTCCAGGTCTCTTGGCCCTATCTCCCATTTCACCATTGCTGGATCACAGGAATGTGCCATTGCAGCCAATTTTTTACCTGGGCTCTGGGGGGCTGAACTGATGTCCTCATGCTTTCAAGGCAAGAACCTTACTAAGTGAGCCAGCTCAAGGTTTTCAAAAATCTTAAACCAAAACTAATATTCAGTGAGGCACCCTGGGAAGACAATGCCTATCCCGGCTCACCCTGTGTTTTTACTGGTTTATTGAGTGACTAGCCATTTCATGGCAAGAAGGGGAAAGATTAGCCTAACCGAAGTCAGTCTTACATGTGCAGATTTGCTCCAGAACATCAGGGTTACAAACTCTGACTTACTCCTTTATGGATTTGATTTAATCCAGGAAGAGTCAAATCCAGCAGCTAAGAAAAGTGGATGATGGACAGAACTCACAACAGTGAACTCAGGATAGTGGACAATGGATGAAACCCACAGCAGTGAACTCAGGATAGTGGACAATGGACGAAACCCACAGCAGTGAACTCAGAAGAGAGTGGACAATGGACGAAACCCACAGCAGTGAACTCAGGATAGTGGACATGGATGAAACCCACAACAGTGAACTCAGAAGAGAGTGGACAATGGACAAAACCCACAGCAGTGAACTCAGGATAGTGGACAATGGATGAAACCCACAGCAGTGAACTCAGAAGAGAGTGGACAATGGACGAAACCCACAGCAGTGAACTCAGAAGAGAGTGGACAATGGACGAAACCCACAGCAGTGAACTCAGGATAGTGGACATGGATGAAACCCACACCAGTGAACAATCTGCAACAGACTTCAAGCCTGCTCTTCGGGTCCAGGGAAGCCTCTATTGCACACAAGGTTCATCAGTAACTTGAATTAACTGGGTCCCATCAGTTGACCTACTTAAAATTGATGGCATTGAACTACAAAAACGATATAAAATGATAAGCAAGGTATAGTAATTCATACCTCATAGCTTAGAACTAGGGAGGCTGAGGCAAGAGGATTACTTTGAGCTCAAGGCCAGCTTGGGCTGAATGTGAGACCCTTTTCCAACTCCTGCCTAACCCCCACATACCATACAAACAAATAAACAAAAAATGATCCCAGTTTGGGCAGGAAGAAGGGAAACCCTGTGTTCTATGAATATCCATGCATCCCATCTATCTATAATAATAATATAAGGTACAAAACATTCCCTTCATGTATTATAAATTAAATTACATAAATGATCCTGTGAGGGGCTGGAGAGATGGCTCAGCGGTTAAGAGCACCGACAGCTCTTCCAGAGGTCCTGAGTTCAATTCCCAGCAACCACATGGTGGCTCACAACCACCTTGAATGAGATCTGGTGCCTTCTGCTGGCATGCAGGCAGAAGGCTGTATACACAATAAATAAATAAATAAATAAATAAATAAATAAATAAATAAAATCTTCAAAAAAATGATCCTGTGATCACTTCAATTATCATTTCCTTTTATGAAAAGCCTGACATAAGGGAACTTAGTATTGGATGTGGCACAAGATAGGATCTTAGTGAATATTTATCTTCATGATCTGTTTTATTCATTGAAGACAAAGGGTCTTCTTGTAAGGTGTGTGGGCATCCTCCCATCTCTCGGTTGAATCAGATCATGTGGGTCATTCACCACAGTTCCACCAAGGAGCTATCTGCTTTCCTGTCATACGGAGGTCATTTGACCTTTTGTCTGGGTGCAGAGGCAAGGGTTCCCAGGCTCACACACTTAGGTGGTCAAGGCATATCTAAAATAAACCTGGACAGTCTAGAAACGGAATAAGGTAAGACCTGGAGTGATTTCAGGAGAGATGGTTCAATCAGTAAGGTACTGATTGAAGGTTCAAGAATGAGGACCGGAGTTTGATTCCCCCAATCTGTGTAAAATGTCAGGTGTAGTATCTCATGCTAGTACTGGGGAGATGGAGAAAGGAGGATCCCTGGGGCTTGCTGGCCAGCCAGTCTAGCCTACTCAAGAGAGCTCCAGGCCTGAGGCTGTCCTCTGACCTCCACACTCACATGAACACACACACACACACACACACACACACACACACACAGAGAGAGAGAGAGAGAGAGGGAGAGAGAGAGAGAGAGAGAGAGAGAGAGAGAGAGAACTGACTTCAACCCAGAAGGAGCAAAGCCACAGGAGTTGTATCTGCACCTGAGGGAAGTCACTTTTCACAGCCTAATGCTGGCAGGAATGCTGAAGAACAGTACAATAACGAAAGCATTTGAGAAGCCCAGAATCCTCACATCTTTGTGAAAGCCATGGCTGCACCAGGCCCTCTGAAGAATAGCGTACTGTTTATTAGCTACCGTGATTACCCCAGCACTTCCAGAAAGAGCAGTAGACCTCAGAAAAAAGGAAAACAGATGTCTGCTTAATGGCCAAGGGCTGCGTGGTGCATAACCTGCAGTCTGTGACAGTGGGAAAAGCCAGCCTGTGAGCTCAAGCTTTTCACGGGGCAAAGATTATCTGGCTTAGGTGCAAAAACATCTAAGAGATGGGGCTGGAGAGATTGCCCAGCAGTGAAGACTATGT